AGTCTTCCTAACTAGCCTCTTCCTAGAGGAAGCTCCTCATGGAACCCCTTGGAGTGTAGGGTGTGCTCAGGGAAGACTAGTACCTCTGGTGTGGAGGCTGCTTTCCATCTTTGGTGTCCACCTGATCCACCTAACTCTCACTTGTGGCACTAAGAAGCTGTAGCATGCGCAGTAGCCACACCAGTAATCTGTTTCAGTGGATGGGCTAAAAGCCAGGTTGAGGGTAACCAAGGGGCCTCACACCCATCGGTGAATTAGGGAGGTGTCTACCCCAAGCATGTGAAGACTTCCCTGGTGGAATGGGCACATGAGAACAATTTGTTCCAACGGCCATGAAGGCAGCTGAAGCAGGTGCTGTGGAATGCTTAGAGCTTGGTTAGACATCAAAGACACCAAGGTCATCCACTGTGTCTTGGGCCATCACAAGTCATCTTGATTCTGTCCAGCCACTATGACGGCTCTGGAAGAGAGTGAGGTTGACAACTCTGTGCAACTCTACCTCACTTAAATCCAATTTATGAATGAATCGAAAGACATCACCCATATCATTTTACCATTTTTACCTATCTCAAAGTCCTATGGCAACAGGGAGGTGATGAAGTAGCAGGTGCAAATAAACTGGGAGCTGTCATCACAACCCTGTACACAGACAGCCCAAGCCTTAGGGTTGTCTTCTCACTGGAAGCAGCAGTGAGAAGCAGAGCAGAATTTGGCAGCCCCCTGGGTGTTTGAGCAGCTTTTTAAGGATTGCACTGCTCACCTACTGGTGTGAGGAAGGGGCTAGAAAATTGCCTTAAAAATTGTCTGCTTACCCAACCCTGGCCTGATTACCACAGCAGGCAGGATCCCACCCTGAGGTTGAAACACAAAAAAATGTATAAAAACTTCAGCAAAGGTGATTCCACTCACCACTGGTATATGGAATGTGCACACACTTGTAGACAATGCAAAAGCCAGTAGACCTGAAAGGTGAATAACTTGCAAGAGAACTCAGCAGTTATCACATACAAATAGCAGCCCTGAGTGAAACAAAGCTGGCAAATGAAGGCCAGCTTACTGAAGTCAGAGCTGGATACACATTTTTCTGGAGTGGCTGCAGTGAAGGGGAGTGTTGTGAAGCTGGTGTAGGCTTTGCAATCAAAACTAATGTAGTCAACAATCTCGTATGCCTATCAAAAGGAGTGAACAACAGGCGCATGACAATGCAATTGCCACTTGTGGGAAAACACCACACCACTATCATCAGTGCCTGTGCTCCCACTATGACAAACCCCGATGACGTCAAAGAAAAATTTTATGACCTGGAGATATTTATCATCAATGTGCCAAAAGAGGACAATCACAATTCTGGGTGACTTTAATTCTAGAGTAGGCTCATACTATCAGACATGGCAGGGAGTCTTGGGGAGGAATGGAGTTGGAAGCAGCAACAGCAGTGGTCATTTACTACTGAAGATGTGCACATTTCATGACCTTCTTTTCACCAACACTGTCTTTCATTTACCTAAATGCAACAAAATTTCATGGAGGCACCCTCACAGCAAACATTGGCATTTAATAGACTACGTGATTGTAAGGAGAAGAGACAGATAGGATGTAGGACTGATGGAGGCAATGTGTGGCACAGAGTGCTGGACTGATCATAGACTTATCCTCTCCAAACTAAATATTCGCATTCAACAAAAGCAGTGACCCCAAGGCAAAATGACTACCAGAAGAATCAATGTCAACAGATTAGAGCACTTTTCTGAGTGGGAGCAGCTTGTTGCTAATTTAGAGGGAAAGCAATACATGGTCGGCAACAGTGGAACAGAAAAGGAGTGAGCAGCTTTCAGAGATTTGATGTACAGCACTGCATTTACTCATCTGGGTCCGAAAACTCACAAACATCAAGACTGGTTTGATGAAAATGATGAGGAAATTCAGGAGCTGCTAAATGAAAACGAGAACTCCACAGGGTTTACCAGCAAGATAGTTCATCCATCTCTAAGAAGCAGCATTTAATTCCATCAAAAGTAAAGTACACACAAAGCTTAGAGAGATGCAGGATTCTTGGCTCAGTAAGAAGACAGATGAAATTCAGTTTTAAGCTGATAGTAACAATCCAAAGCACTTTTATGATGCCTTGAAGACTATTTATGGGACAAAGATTTATTGTGCATCTCAACTACTCAGCACTGATGTAGCCACACTGATTAGTGATAAGGATACATGATCTTGGAGAAAATGGGCTGAACACTTTTATAGCATTCTGAACAGACCATCATCAATCAATGCTGAAGGCATTGACTGTGTACCATAGGTTGAAGTCAATACCTCCCTAGCTGAAGTTTCAAATGAAGAAGAGGTTTTGAATGCCATTAGTCTCCTTTTGTGTGGCAAAATGCCTATTGTTGATTCTGTTCCAGCTGAGATTTACAAGGTGGGGGGGAGTGGTCCATTGCTCATACGAAAGCTGACTGGGTTATATGGCAAAAGGAGGTTATCCCCCAGAAGTTCAAGGATGCCTCCATTGTCCATCTCTGTAAAGGTAAAGGAAATAGATTGTCCTGTGACAATTGACAGGGTGGGGGAGGGGGGAGAGTGTCTCTCTCTTAGTCATTGCTGGCAAGATTTTTGCCAGAGTCCTCCTTAATAGGCTGATCCTTCACCTGGAAGATGGTCATCCGTCTGAGAGCCAGTGTGGCTTAAGAAAGGGCCAAGGAATGGTCTATATGGTGTTTGCTGCCTGATTACTCCAGGAGAAATGCCAGGAGCAGGACAGAGGTCTGTACACAGTGTTTATAGATCTGACCAAGGCCTTTGATACTGTCATTTGCAAGGGCTTATAGAAAGTTATGTCAAAATTTGGTTGCCTGGAGAAGTTCATCAGCATTGTACGTCAATTTCATGACTGCATGCTTGCCTGGGTTCTGGATAATGGGCAATGATCTCATGCTTTCCCAGTCACCAGTGGAGTGAAAGAAGGCTGTGCGCTTGCTCTCATACTTTTTAGCATGATATTTTCAGCCATGTTGTCAAAATGCCTTCAATGAGAACAAACACGTCATCAAGGTCAGCTATGGCACTGATGGTAAATTCTTTAACTTGAAAAGGCTACAAACAAGACTAAAGTGGAGGGAGTGTTGGTGCATGATTTTTTTGTTTGCAGATGATCACGCATTCAATGCAACCTCTGGAGTTGAGAACAAAGTATGGATCAATTTGCTGTTGCTTATGCTAATTTTGGCCTAACAATTAACACCAAGAAACTACAGGTGCTCCATCAGCCAGCACCACACCACCCTTATGGAGTTTTGAATACTGAGGATGAGTTCACTTACCTTGGCAGTATACTTTCTAGGGATGTACAAATTGGTAATGAGGTTGACACACTTTTTGCCAGAGCTAGCTCAGTGTTTGGAAGGCTCTGAAGGAAAGTGTGGGACAGAAGAGATATTAGACTGAGTACTAAACTGAAGATCTACAGGGATATTGTGCTGACTTCGTTGTCATAGGCCTATGAAACCTGGATAGTGCCATACTAGGAAACTGAAATTGCTTCCGTTTGAATTGTCTTAGGAAGATTCTGAAGATCATAGATAAGATACAAGATAAGATACCAGACACTGAGGTCCTTTCTCAAACTAAAATTCCAAGCATTCAAACTCCACTGCAGAGAATGCAACTCTGATGGGCTGGCCATGCTGTTTGAATGCCAAATGTGCGTTTGCCAAAAAAGACTATGGAGAGCTCACACAGGGCAAGAGCTTACCTGGTGGTCAGAAAAAGTGATACAAGGACACTCTCAAGGTCACACTAGGAGACACTGGCACAGGACCACCCTGCATGGTATGCCCTCATCAAAGAAGATGCTATCACTCTATGAGGAAAGCAGAATCAAAGTGGCTCAAAAGAAATGCAAGATGTGCAAATTTAGAGAATCCACCCCAAATGTTCACATGGACTATTTGTGCCCGATCTGTGGTAGAGCATTCCGAGTTCATATTGGTCTGATCAGCCACACTTGGACACACTGAGACTCTAACTCAGTGATGTCATTTTGGTCCTCTTTGAGAACAAAAGACAACCACCACCATGGAACCCCTATGGAATTGAAAATGTGGGCTTCTCATCTGACACAGAGAAGCAAAAGTTCTTGGGGATGGGTGAGAATAATTATTCATTTCCATAGGGATTAAACTTAACGGACATGAGTTGGGTCCTTTTAAGAGCATGAAAACATCCCCAAGAGGGCAGAGCTCCTATGTAGGCCTAGCACTCAGAAGACAAAAGATCTAAAGGATAATTCCCCTAGATAATTCTTTGGGGGTCCTAAGCTGCCTTGGTCTAAAGTTCTCTCCGATCTATGAACCATATCCTTCAGTTCCTGGACCAAATTATGACTTGCTGTTTCTGGCAGCTCTGAAGCTTGCCCACATGGCTTTGACTGGGCCACTGGTCCTTCTTGTATCTTGACTAACCTCTGTGCTAGCTGCCTCCCCTGGCTTGTGCTCAGCCTATCCTTAACTATCACATATGACTGTGACTGCCCCAGCTGGGACTGAAGCCAGATTCCCCAAAAGGACAACTACATGCAGCCTACCTGAATTTGTACAAGGACAGCATAGATTTATAGGTGGATTTACAATGTGAACATTGTTTACAGCAGTTGAATGTCATGTACAGTGCCCTGCACATAGTAAGCACTTGATAAATGTCTGATGATTGATTAATGATTAATGATTAATTCTATGGAATTGGTTCTCCAGATATTTCAGGACCAGTTGTGCTTTTCTTGTAACTAAGTGGTTATGTGATCTTTCCCCTCCTTCCTTTCCCCCTTCCCTCTTGCCTTACCTGTATGGTCCTCAGGTCCTCTTCATCTATATAAATAGGGTTCTTATGCCTCATCTGCGTGTATGGTATTAAGATTTCTCTCCCTGAGTGGACCTCAGTTTCTTCATTCAGTCTTCTCTGTCCAGATCCCCTCATTCCCTCTTCCTACTGATGAGGCTTACCTGACTGGATGGCTTTCAGTGTGGCATCCTTCTCCCACTGGAAAAGCTGCTTTACACGACATCCAAACTTCTCCCTGTGCATAGCCTTTGCAACTGCTAGCACCTCTGGCTTGTCGGCTGGGGCGATGGGGAGCATTGTATAACCTGTGGGGAGTAGGCCACGTAACCTGGGGAGCCCTGTAATCTGGGGGGAAGGATGTTCATGAAACCTGAGGGAAGAGAGACATGTAAGTAATCTGGGAGAGGATAAGGAACAAATAACTTGGGGGTTTGGCTCTGGGTTACCAGAAGAAAGGATAGTCATGTGGCCTGGAGGAAAGGGGATTTTGTGATTAGAGGGAGGGTGTTAATGTACCAAAGGAGACATTGTGGAAGGAGCAACAAACTTAAGGTCAGGAGAAATGTTTGAATATTGACTCTGACATTTACTAACCTTGGCTAAGTCACTTTACTTTTTGAGATTCAGTTTCTTCATCTAAAAAATAGGGTTAATAATATATTACCTACCTCATGTGAGGAAAGGATTTTGCTAAGGCACCATGTAAAAGTATTATTATTATGGTGGGGAGGTGTATGATGAAATATCCTTATTTTCCACAGTGAATGAGAGTTTATTTTTATTTTTAAAATCCTCTAAACCGAACATGAAATATTATAGACATTATAAGTTCACTGAGAATTAGGAACTTCAGTATCATTGATGCTTTCAATCAATAAACTCTTTGCTTCTCTTTGAGGTCTTTAGAAAACTTCTCCAATACAGTTATCCCTTCCACATTTTGACTTTTGCCATCATGGTTTCAACATATTGTGGTTTGGCATAAGAAACTAAGTGGGAATTTTGGGGAGTTTTACGGAAGCTGCAGACAACACGCCAAGGCCAGCAGATAACACAGAAAAAGTTTAGAAACTCAGAAATTACACACACACACACACACACACACACACACACACACACACACATACAAATAGACATATATATATATATATTGTTGTATAATATCAACCCAAATTTTACAGTTAGGTACTGTAAACACCCAATAAAACAAAAATAAAAATAAAAATTCAGACTTCTTCTCTGGTACAAAGGGAGAAGCAAAAAATTTTACATGGTGTTTCCAGATTATGGGGACATTGTACCCCTAATGACTGTGATGTGGAAGGGATAACTGTATTATTGGTGGCTAATCATTGATAATTCTATTTCAGGTAACCAAACAATAACAGCACAGTGAGAGGCATTTCAAGATCAATATCTTCAATTCTAAACTTTTGTTGGGTCTGAGATTTTCCAGAGAGTATCTGTGAATTGTTTCATTTGGTGCTTTTTTTATGCATTCAGAAGTTTTGGGCAGCTTTCTTGGATTTTTTCTTGCATTATGGTGGTTAGGTTTTTTTAAATTTGTCTTGTTCTCTTGGGAGACTTAAGATTCTTAAATTTTCTCTTTGCATCCTACCTTTGAGATAAATGGATTTTGCATATATAGGGATCACATTTTTTTGGACATTCTTTTTGTCTTCCAGATTGTCTTTCACTTCAGCATATTTGTATTCCCAATCATTCAATTGTTCTCTCCTTTGCTTCTTTGGAGAGACTTGCCACCAAGTTTGTCTATTCTGTCAATTATTTTTGCTGTGTAGGGCATAAATTCTGCTATTTGCTTACTTTTAGCTTTTTGTTTTAAGATTCTGATTTTCCTCCTGAACCCTTTGGGAACATCCTGATGCAATTCTGTGCTCTTTGGGGATTTCACAGGTTCTTCTGTGTCATCAGGTACCGGTTCAATTTCCTTTATTTTGCAATAGTTACTTGAGATGTTTGTAGTCTTTTATATGTCTTGGTGAATGAACATCTTCCCTTTTATTTTAATATCTCCCCTATTGATTTATCTGCTTGTCATCTAGTTTTCTTCTTCCTGAGATCTTTGGCAATTTTAGTTTTTTTTTTTTCTTATATTTCCTTATTTTTCACTTTCTGACTCCTTCCCCTATGATGGTGGTTCTCTAGGGGCTGGACCTCAAAGTTATCTAAGTCTCTTTCTAGTTTTCACTCATCTCAGTTCCTGCCCTAAGAAGATTTGGTGGGGATAGAACAGAACTGGTCCTGGATGGATGCCAGGCTCTTTGAGTCCTGGTACAGCTCCATATGCATGCTTGCCAGCTTCCCCTAGCTCCCTTTCTTCTTTAGTTCTCTGGTTGGGCATTGCTACTCTAGAGAGAGTATACTCATACTTTCCTGTGCCTCTCCTTCCTCTGAAAGTGGGTGGTCACAACTGGGTTCTTCTATTTGTTGCTACAGAATGGTGATAAGGTCAGGGACAAAGTTTCCTGGCACAGACTGAAGCAGCAGCAGGGAAATTGCTCAGTGAATTGGATCTCAACGCACAAACTAGTAGGTTGGGTTGTGCATCCTGTCTGAATCTGAGGACTAGTGGTAGGTGTGTTGTGTGAGTGACTTGGAAATTAGTGTTCTCTGCTACTAACTCACAAGTCTTGTTAGGTGCCTTAGTGTCTTAGACTATGAGAAGAGCTGGAAATGATTTTCCTCTGGCATGTAATTCTTTTTTTGGGAGGAGTTTTTGAGAGTTAGTGGGGACTGGAGAAAATGTCTACTCCTCCATCTTATTTGGTCCAGAAATTTTCCAGTGTTTCATGGAGGGCCTGATTTTTAGTATTCTGAAAGTGGCACCATATTTCAGTGATGTCCTGACCATTGATAAACACTGAAAGACTTCAGGAAGGTTGGAGTAGTTTTAGACTTTGATAGATAGGTGAACAAATAGAAATGTGATGTAAGAACTCCTAGTATTACCTCTTGGGCTACTGATTCAATGATTCTGGGGTTCACCACAACCAATATAAGAAACATTCCAATGAATATAACCCATGTTCTTTGCCAATATTAATTTGCCATGAAGTGTTGAAGATATGCTTTACCACAAGATGGCATTGAGGGACAAATTGTTTATTACTCAATATTATCCACAAAATTAAACTACATATAATTGTATATCCCTTAATGTCATCACATAAGAAGGAAATTCTATAAATATCTCTATGTAATATTCTTATGTTATCTGTGGTTAACTGGGCCCTATCCTCTGATACCTTAGAAATAGATATAGTTTTCAGATATAGTCTCTCGCAAAGTCTCTTTGACTCATGTTTCCACTTAAGGTTTACACTAGGAATATAAGAATTTTACTTGTTTCTCTCCCCCCAAAAGGGCCTCAGCTACCTTGCAAGCATTCAGGGTAATGAGATATTGAATATAAGACAGATTTTTACTTAATCCAATGGAAACATATGGGATTATGCCAAAATTCCTCAACAATTGGGAAAAACTCTGCTCCTCCTTTTAGAAGGCATTAAACAATCATATTCCTCTTGGGTTTCACTTTCTCTTGGGATCTATACACACAGTATTAGTGAAGCAATAGATATAGGTCGCTCCTCAGTTCATATGGTTGTCTGCTATGCCAATCTTTTTTCCTCTTTGGAGTCAAGCAAATGGTATAGCCTGCAGGCCTCTTTCCAGGCCCAAGTGGGACTGGGCATCTGCATTTCTTCTTCCATGCTCTCTTGACTAGACTCTGAATCCTTTTCTCCCCTTTCCCCTCAATGTTCCCTCTTTTTAGATATACAATTGGTGTTCTTCTTTAAGGGTACATGGTTCACCGTAGAGGGTGTATAGATCACACTACTATAGCATATATGAATTTTTTGGATGAAAGCAGTAGTTGGAAGCTCTTCTAGTGGCCTGGAATTGATCCTTAATAGCAGCAACAACACCAGCTTTGGGAGCTCTCAGCCTAGAGATGGTAAGTGAGGTGGACAACTGATCAGAAAAAGACTGCAAGAGATCCTTTGCTGGCACTGGGTGCAGCTGACACTGACTGGCAACTCTATTGTCCAGAAGCAGTTCTGGGTTGCAGTTCCAGGATGTCAATAGGAGTGCTTCTCTTCAGTCAGAGGGGAGCAAGAGCCCTGGTTTCAGTTCCAGGGCTGAGAAGAGCACTAGCACTTGGGGCTGCAGTTGGGCAGGGGCCCTTCCTGGATGAAGACCAGAACATAGACCAGGAGATCAGTGACCACACCTCTCCCAGAATTATAGTACCTTGGAAGCACTGAGAACTTGCAGACCCCCAGAACTAACTCTGAAACAGCAGCATGTAAAAGCCTGAAGCTTGGAACAGTGCCTCCCCAACCCCAGGTGAGCAGAACTCAACTTGAACATAAAGTTCAAAGTGGAGAAATAGGCTGGGAAAATGAGCAAATAACAAAAAAGAACTTGACTATATAAAGCTATTGTGGTGGCAGGGAAGATGAAGACGTAAACTTAGAAAAATACAACAATATGAAAACAGCTGCAAGCAAGGTCTCAAAGAAAAATGGAATTGGATCCAAAGCCAGAAAGAATTCCCAGAAGAGTTAAAGAGATAAAAATGGTAGACAAAAAATTGAGAAAAGAAATGAGGGTGATGCAAAGACATTATAAAAAAAAGTATTAACAGTTTGGTAAAAGAGGCACAAAAGTACTGAAAAAAATAACATCTTAAAAAACAGAGTGGGCCAAATGATAAAAGAGGGGAAAAATTCACCGAAGGAAAGAATGCCTTAACAAGTAAATTGGCCAAATGGAAAAAGAGGCACAAAAGTCCACTGGAGAAAATAGCTTTTAAGAATTGGGCAAGTGGAATCTAATGACTCCATGAGACTTCAAGAAATAATATAATAAAGTCAAAAGAATGAAAAAAATAGAAGGAAATGTGGAATAGCTCATTCAAAAAAACACCTGACCTGGAAAATAGATCAAGGAGAGATAATTTAAAAATTATTGGACCACCTGAAATACATGATCAAAAGAAAAGCCTAGACATCATCTTTCAAGAAAATATCATGGATAACTGTCCTGATATCTTAGATCCAGAAGATAAAATAGAAATTGAAAGACTCCACAAATCACCTACTGAAAGAGATCACAAAATAAAAACTCCCAGGAATATCATGGCCAAATTTCAGAGCTCCTAGGTCAAGGAGAAAATATTGTAAGTAGCCAGAAAAAACAATTCAAATATTGTGCTGTTACAGTCAGGATCACACAAAATTTAGCAGCTTCCATGTCAAAGGATCAGAGGGCTTAG